TTATTTATTTTTGGCTGCGTTGGGTCTCTGTTGCTGCACGCGGGCTTTCTCTAGTTGTGGCGAGCGGGGGCTACTCTTCATTGCGGTGCTCGGGCTTCTCATTGCAGTGACTTATCTTGTTGCGGAGCACAGGCTCTAGGTGTGTGGGCTTCAGTAGTTGTGGCACGCGGGCTCTAGAGCGCAGACTCAGCAGTTGTGGCACGTGGGCTCAGTAGCTGTGTCTCGCGGGCTCTAGAGCGCAGGCTCAGTAGTTGTGGCTCACGGGCCTAGTTGCTCCACAGCATGTGGGATCTTCCCGGACCAGGGCTCGAACCTGTGTCCCCTGCATTGGCAGGCAGATTCTTAACCACTGCGCAACCAGGGAAGGCCCTGGCCTTAGGTTTTGATCTTGTAACCTGGAGGCGTTTACAAGCTACATTTCGGTTTGCTTACACAGGCCACCAAGGCGTTAGAGCCACCTCAGTCCGGTGGCCTCCTCGTTTCATTAACAAGGAGTGGCAATGACCAGAGCAGATCTCCCGAGCAGAGTTCCGTAGAGGAGAATGAAACTGGAGAGGGCAGTTAGGGACCTACTGTGGAATGTCTTCAATAGCAGGCCACCAGCCAGTATGTGACCAAAAGTTGGGTGGGCGTAATTCAAGAACCAGCTGTTTAATTTCTTTTAGGGGAATGAACTTTGTTTAGCAAAACACCTGGAAAGGACTTGTTGGTTATGGAAAGGTAAGCCTCAGCGTCTGGCCAGGAGAAGCAGAGACAGGTAGTGAGAGAGCTGACTTACTCGGCATGAAAAGGCAGAAGGAATGACATATTCTGGTACAGCCCTGCAAGAGAGACATAAGAGGGAAATACTGAGGACAGCACATGTCAGGAGGCCAAAGGACAGGGAGGAAATTTTGTCCGGGAAGAAATTCTCTATAGGAGCTAAAGAATATGAAAGAAGTCAGAGCTTCCATCTTCCTGTTGTCAGCTTCGTCTCTGCCACTGCCCTCACACCTTCCAAGTCTAGGCCTCGCTCATCTACCCGAGACGTGTTTGAGAGGTGAGGCACAGTGGGTGTGTGACCCACTCAGCTCGGCATGACCGAGGTAGCGAGCAAGCCCGGGCGGGATGCCAGCAGAAAAGAAGGAAGGATCCCCAAACAGGACATCAAAGTGAAGGATGAACGTGGGAACCCACATCCCTGGGAAGCCGCACAAATCTTAAGGAAGACAGGAATGTGTCATTTGGGGTTAATGCAATTTCATTTAAGTCTCAAAAACCAGGAATCCCAGCTAACACCTAGCTCCAGATATATAAGGCAACATTTATACCCAACTCCTGATAGTTTGGGAAACAATGATTGCATGTATAGATCTCCCAGTGTCCATACTTCCTTCTTTCTTTCCTCTTCATAACTAATTTTTAACATCTTAGCACCATCACCAACGTTTATTCAATCTCAGGAGAGATGGGCCAACTCAGATTGATTTCCTTTTCTCTTTGTTACCATCTCGGGCAAGATGTGTCATTGGGATGTCAGTTTCACGATTCTGTCCCTGTGCACCCAGCGATGAATGTTTAAGTGAGAAATACCGCTTTGCTCCTACCCCGTCACCTCCATGTATTTGAGTGTATAGATACATGTGTTCCCATATGTGATTGTTCTATTTCCTGCAGTGGGTGGATTTATTCTGCAATCTATGAAAGACCAATGAAATGCTTCTTGCAACTGCTTATAACATTTCTCAGCTGAGGTTCCAATGGTTTCCCCAAAACAAAGTACTGATACATAATGACAGTGGCAGATTCACATAGTGTATTGTTATTTCTGGAACAATACCTTCAGAATGATATTATTTGGTCAGTCACCTGCACTGCTCTAGACTGTCCCTTGACTATAATAACTGACACCTGAGAAAGTTTCCTCCTGGCGGAAAACTCCATTCAGAGAACAGAGCATCTGCAGTGGAGGACGTCTGATGAGTCGTCAGAACATTAAAACGGTCGGGATTCACATGTACGTCAAAATGTTCACGTAACACTCCTTGCTGGAGAGACGCTGGCAATTAGTTTTTGCAATTATTGTTCTGGCTCTCTTTCCCCATCTCCTGAAAGCTACCGCAAAAGGGCTCCATGATTTGACATTCATTATCCCTGGAGTATGTCCATGATCTTCCTGCTTTCTTTGGAGTGTTTGGGAAATCCGCAAACCTAACCTTCGATCAAGTATTTCGATTTGAACAGGACGTGATAAGGCAAAAGCTACCTGCCTGGTTCCCAGGTTAACTACCCTGCGGCTTCCCTGATGTTGCTGACAATCTTCCAACTTGCCATCTCCTGCCTCTTTCACTTATTCATGTCATTTATTCTGGCAAACATTCATCCTGACCCTTGCAGCCATTTCCAATTGAACACATCTGAACTGGTCAGTTCCTCTTTGAGTTTTCACAATAATTACTATTTCTATTTCAAAAACCCAAAGCAACAAATATCTACCCTTTAGCAACAGTGCTTTTTAAAACATTGTTTTTATTTCAGCGCCTTTATCAATAGACACATGCACACGCTAGGAATTTCTTCATATTCATTTTATAAATGGTCTTTTCTTAACTCCACAATTAGCACGCCCAGATGAGCACACACATGTGCTAGGGCCTTTTAATTTAAAACAAAACCCAAAACACTATCTATCCCTACTTCACAGCATTTATAGTCTAAAAGTGCTTATTTACCCAAGTCAAATAGATTTCTTAGTGACAAATCTTTCTTGCAAGCTATCAAAAATTTTAAGGCATGTCTCCACTTAATAAATCACTTTCTCATTATTCCTGGGTAATTTACCTCTGCTCTTTGCCTCTGCTTTTTGCTATTTTCTCACCTTTATTCATTTGTGTTTATGGGAGAAGCACAGAGTAGGTGAAAATTAAATATTTTCACTTTACCTAATAATTGGAATATAGGAGAAAGGTTGAAAGTACAGCCAAAAATCTAATTTGAATACAAATAAAGTTTTAATATTATCAGCCAACGTGTTTTCCATTCTATCTTTGAGCCTTGTTGCTAACCATAAAAACTGTCTGTCCAAGGACAAATGATAACAGAGCGCATTTCATCCCGAACATTTGTCAGAATGAAAGGTAAACGGCAAAGTGATACTGAAGACTCCTACTTGGACGTTACATGTGCACGTGGTACCTGGTGCCAGGACAGAGCAGGAACCTCCAAATATCACGTTTCTTTTTCTTTCTCCAAACAAATGGGGCAGCTCAGAGTCTGTGGCGACGGCTAGACTATAACAAAACAACGTCGACTCTGATCATCTGTCAAAGCAAACTGCAGTCAGAGAAAAGAAGGTGTTCTGGGCCAGGCAATGCCAGTGGGATGGCAGACAGCACAGTGATAGCAAATAATAATAACCGCTCAGAGAACAAGCCTTACACTCTCCACGTCAGGAAGCTTCGAAAGGAAGGAACACAGAGGCAACCAAGAAATCAGAGTAGTTTTCACGGCACTGTGTTTTCTCTGCATCTTGCTGGTTAACTGAGCCCTACATGTGCTAACCAAGGAGTCCACGGGGGATGAGGTGGGAGAGGTCCCCCAGGGACGCTGGAGGTAGGGGTGATGGGGAAAAAAGAAAAGGGTACCATTCCACTAGGAATAGGGTATCTGGAGACTCTGTCTTCAAATCCAGCGGACATCTAGGCACAGTTTCAGGCCCTATTTAGGATTCCGTAGCAATTTTTAAGACAAAGCAATTTTCCTAAACATCCCTAGTTTTTACTTTAGTCACTTGTATCTGGGTGTATCTGGGTCTTATTTGAGTTCCCAGACATTCTGCTCATTTTACCTTCTAAGTGCACATGAGAGGCTGGAAAGGGTCAATATTCACACCAGCTGGGGGCTTAAAATAAGGAATCTGAACACAAAACAACAAGAACTAGAGCTTGTGGGACACCCGCCTATGAAGCATCAGAATTGATGCTCCAGACATGGCAGTGTTCTCTCTACCACTCAGCACCGAGGGGTGAAGCAGTGTCAGAGAACACCTCATGGCAGCCACGGCCCTTCTCCAAGACCACAGAACAAGTCATTTCACCCACGGCCAAGCCCAACACCCAGGCGTCCTGTCTTCCAATGCTGCACTATTATTATTCTACTAGGTACAATCGCTCTAATAGCCATAGTGCCTATTGTGAGCCAGGTACTAGTCGAAGCCCCTGACAGGTATTACTTTACTTAACCTTACAACCACTCCCCTGATGGAGGGACATTCTGCTATGTTCCTTCTTCGGGCGAGGAATCTGAGGCCCAGAGTGTGTAAGTTCCTAGCTCAGTCTCAAAACTGGGGAAAGGGCTGAGCTTCCTACCCTGAACACCCACACTCCCTGCCACTAAGGAGTGTGCGTGTCTCCCTGCTCCCTCCCCCCATGGCTCCATCTGCAGAGAAGACTGGCCCCCTGGTGCTTCCTTAGCCCGACTTCACTGTGCAGTGAATTACTAAATTCTCCTGGGCATCCGGTGGCACAAAGCATCACCAGAACACGAAGTCTTGGATTTAGTAATACTGGGCTCTCTCGCTGTAACTGGGAGAATAACAGCTTGTTTGTCCTCATTCTTTCCAAGATCCCTCACTGTTTCTTGAAAGAGTTTAAGCAATTTGATGCCTAAAGCAATGTCATCATCTCCAGGCCCAACTCCTGTAGCTCTACGTGAAAAACAAAGAAGTTGTCACCGTGAAATAACAGGAGGGATGAGAAAGCGGAGGGGATTGCAAGCTGGGTTTTTTTTTTTTTTACTGGCTCTGGTGAATTCTCTAATTGGCAGTTGGACCCCATGCCAGAAGCAGAAATGTGTGCAAGGCCTTGGGCTAATCATCTGACACCCCTCGCAGTTAGGAAAACTCCTAACTAGAGCTTCCTGAGATTGTCTGATTTCTTTTCTTTCTTTGTCCATTTGGAGGGCAACTAAAATCCACCTTTGCGGGCACAAGCCAATAACTGACCCTCTTTTCTGCTGCACAGAACCTGAAGCGGGTGGCGGAGACCTGGATGGATGAGTTTGCCGAGTACATTTACCAGCGGCGCCCGGAGTACCGGCACCTGTCCACGGGGGACCTCTCCGCGCAGAAAGAGCTGCGCAGACAGCTCAAGTGCAAGGACTTCAAGTGGTTCATGGCGGCGGTGGCCTGGGACGTGCCCGAGTACTACCCTCCAGTGGAGCCCCTACCCGCAGCCTGGGGGGAGGTGAGGCGCCCCCTGGGGGTGGGAGTGGGCTGCTGAGACCCTCAGCTCCCTTGCCCTGCGGCCAGGGTCAGCTGAAATAATCTCCGGTAAATATATGTCCTCTGTAGGAATTGCTGGGGAAGGGCATTCAGCTCACCCCTGGAACCCCTGGCCACTCTTGACTCCCCAAATTGATTTTTTAAAAATGCACCTGGAAACTCTTTATTTGAGATTAGTGAAATTGCCCTAAGAGCTTGCAGAGAATGAAAATATCTGTCGTGCTCTTGTGTACAAAAATGTGACCCGATGTCCACGATAAAAATCCCTCCCTGTCCGCTGCGCGCGCAGCCTGGTTGCTATGGGCGTGTGCAAGGACGAGGTGCCCCGATGGGGCTGGGCGGCTTTCCTAACCAGGTGTGCGATGCAGAATCAAAAAGATGCGCTTTTCCACAATACCCTGAACTGTGGCAAATGTGGGACCTCATGGGTTCCTTAAATAAGCACCAACCTTTCCACCTCTGAGCGCTTCTTTTAAATTTTACTTCATGATCTAAAATGGAAAGAGCTGAAAGGCCCCAGTTGCCCAATTTAAAGCATCTATATTTTGGCATATAAAGGACTTTTGTGCTGGGTTCAGTTCTGTTCAGTCTCGTTACTGTGGCCTTTTCCTCTTAGGAGAGGGTGTGCTAGAGCAAGGACTCAAATTGGATGAGGTGAATTTAGCCTGCAATTTAATCTCGTAGCAGGGGGCTTGGCGTGGGGGGGGGGCGGGGGCGGGGGATGCTAGCGCCATCCCCACGCTCAGGAGCAGACTGCCTCGCGTCCTGCAGGAGCCTTCCCATCGTCGTCCTTGACTTTGTGGTGTGGAGAGAACAGGCGCTTGCCCGGTTAGTGTCTGTGGCTTGGCAGAGTTCTGAAAACAGGTGGCCCCCAGGCGTGGCAGGGGAGGCCCGCGCGCTGGGGCAGCGTCCTTGGGTGAGCCAGCGTCCTGGCTCCGGGCAGAAAACGCATTCAGCAGGTTACATGTGCGCTGCCTGTTTTGCTGAGGGGCCCGTAGAGAGATGGTCCTCTGCTTGACCTGGGGTACCTCGGTCATGAAGGATAGAGCGAAAGCTGGCACCAAGGCTTCATCTCCTAATATTTTTTTGTATATGCCCGTGGTCCTGATCGTGGATGTTTCAGTGAGTAATTTGGCCTCTGATCCTCTGCATCTTAAAGATTTCATTAAAGCGTTCCTGGAATATTAGTAATATTACTCTGCTGCTATTCGTTTTTGTTATCTACCAGGGGCTTAATTTACAGCAGCAGCAATTTAAAGTAGACCCCAGAGAGAACCTTCTTAGTCTAAGGTGTTGTAAGACATAAGAATTTGTTACCCAAGAAGCAGGTGAGTTTCTTCCTCGAGGTTAGTGTTATGTCTGCCGTCTTTCCCTAATAATCTAAAAACAGTCCTGCCTTAGTGACTTAGTAGGAAACTCTCCAAGAGCCCGCGGCCCCGCCCCACGGCAGAGTCAAGCACGCGGAGGGGAAAGAAGCCCTGCCCGGCCAAGTCCCTTCTGCCTCCGGAGCCAGCTCCCGGAAGCGCTGGTGTTGGTAGCTGGCCTGATGGCTTCAGGGTAGCTCCGTGGGGCTGGAGCGCTGGCCGCGCAGGCCCTGAGCGCCCGCGGTCCCAGGGGAGTCTCCGTGGTGCGCCCTATGGCGTCTGGAGGTGGTGCTCCTACTGCGGATGAGCAGGGACTGGGCTGCCGAGGGAGGTCATGCTGCCTGCACGCAAGGATCTGGACCCGTACCATACGCTCGCCCCGAACGCAGCCTCAGGTACCAAAGAAGACCCTCATTTAGTCAGCTTCCTCACCAGGAAGCGCATGGTGGGCTGCATCTGGGGAGAAGACAACGTCATCTGGCTCTGGCTGCACAAAGGCGAGGCCTCGCGGAACCCATCCCAAGCCGGTGCCTTAGCAGCTGGCCCACGGAACCCCTGCACTAGCTCCCTCAAAATGGGGTGTAAAGTTTCTTCTTTGCAGTAAAGACTAGTCATTACATTGGCTCCTCCTCCCATGAAAGAAAAAGAAAAGAAAACTCTCCAAGACCTCCCAGTATCACTGCGTGATTCGGGACGAGGTTAAAATCTCATCAGTCTTTTCCCTATGTGGAAACGTAATATTTTATTCCAACCCGGCTACTACCTAAACTGTGACGGTCGCATTTTCCCTCGTTGCCTGACTAAACCATAACCTGCATTTATAAAGCATCTGGGGGGGGGGGGGGGAAGCATCTTGCATGGAAACAGATTCAAAATTTCCCTGAGGTTCTAGAAAAGACATAACTTTCCAGGAATAATAAGAACCATCTTATGGCCAGTGGGTGATGCCAGTTTTTAACCTATTACTCTTGACTACCTCACATCTTTACGTGGTTTGCCTGGGCCCTAGAGACATTTGAGTTCATCATCCTTCGTTTAAACAATCAGACATTGAGAAGATCAGATTTTCTTCTGATATAATGGCAAATTTCTTTCCCCAAAGCTTCAGAACAGCAAGCAAAGTAAGGTCACCTTTAGGTTTAGGGCAAGAAGCAAATGGCAAAGTACTTCAAGCGCCAGTTACATTCAGCTACATTTGCTCAGTGAACGGGTGGTACATGGCAAGGATGAAGACGAGACGTGGGAGGAAGACAGAAGGAAGGGGAATCGGCAAGTGACAGGGTTTGGGCTGGTAAAGTGCATTGAAAAATATCTATTTCCCAAGCAGGGGAGATCCCTGAGAGTAAAAGTGATGCCTGGACATTTAATGCAGGAGGCAAATGAAATATTTGAAATGCAGCTTAATCTACATGAAATGATGAACAGGAAAGACCATTTTCTAACTATATATCGGGTAATAACCTACTTCTTAATGGTGGATAAAAATTGCTAAATGTGCAGAATATACCTGTGGACCATTTTATCTCTAAAAAAATTCAAAGTTTCACTCGTGTATTCCTTGGCCCTCTACAAAGAGCTTTTGTTTATTATTTTTTTATTTTGGAATAATTTTAAACATACAGAAAAGTTGCAAAGAAGGCGCAGAAAGTTGACATACACCTTTCACCCATTTCTTCTAATGTTAACAATCTTACGTTTGCCACCATACGTTTAACCATAGCACGTTTAAACTAAGTAATAAGTATTGGTACGATACCATTAACTCGGCTACAGACTTCAATCAGATTTCACCAGTTTTGTTTGTTTGTTTGTTTGTTTGAACTAATGTCCCCTTTCTGCTGCAGGATCCAATCTATTATATAAAAGGGCTGTTTCATTTCCTATAAACTTTAAATTAATGCCTCGAATGCGCCAAGCTCCTACATAAATGTAATAGGTCACTTGCTGTTTTGATAAGAGAGTGAAAAGGGAAAGGCAGACTGTGTGGTTCTTTAAAAGCAGTGGTAGGAAGGAACCACAAACCTCCAGCAATAAAAACACAAGACTCCTTTATGGGAGCGCTGTGCCAGGAAGCAGGGTAACGGGCTGTTTCATGCACTTGTACTTGGAACAGTTTTCCACCTGCTCCTCTGTGCCAGCCTGATTTTGGGTAAACAATCAAGTGCTTAGGCAATCTTGGGCTCTGGTCGTTGGAACCCAGCTTGGAAAGGATGTGTTACAGACCATACACAGCCTATAAACTGCTACTCATTTCCCTGACAGATTCAGCTGGTTGTCGTGTGTGTCTCCTAACTCATCCCTCTGCTTCCCCCCCCCCCCCCCACCCCACCCCTTAGTTTATTCTCCACTTGAAACGGGAGATCAGGCCACTGCCTCACTCAGAACCTTTCAACAGCTACCAGCTCTCTCGGGGTCAAGGTCAAAGTCCTCACCTGCACCCTGAACGACCTGGCCTCTGCTGCGTCCCCTCCGACCTCATCTCTTACTGTTAGCCCTCGACTTCCTTTTTCCAGGGACACTGGCCTCAGCGATGCTCCCCGTCAGGCCAGGCACAAGCCCACCTCAGGGCCTTGTCACTTGCTGTTCCTCCTGCTTAGATCCCAAGGCTCTTCCCTCACTCCTTTCAGGCCCTTTCTCACAAAGCACTGTCTTCTCGGAAAGCCCTCCCCGGCTGTCCCCTCTGTCGTGGGCAGCAATGCACAGGGGGCTGTCCATCCTCATCCACTCCCAACGCCCCTCCCCTGCTCTCTCCTGCTCATCAGCATCCCTCGCTACAGAACAAGCCGTGCCATCTACGTATTTATCGTGTTTCTCACCTACCTAGAAAGCCAGTTCCAGGACATAGGGTTCTGTTAATCTGTTGAGTTACTACTGCCCTTCAGCAGCTAGAAACAGGGTTTGGCATAGAGTGGGTGCTCAATAAATGCTTATTGAGTGAATGATGAATATCATCATTCACTGAGTGAATGATGAATATATCATCCTCCTCAAATGGAGGATCCTGGCTCCGTCACCCCCTCTGCATTCACAGCTCTGCCCAGAGGCCCCCATGGGCAGGCCAAGCTCTGGCCCCCCTTCACCGCACGGGGAAGGGTCTCCACACCACTCCCTGGCCCGCCATACAGAGGCTGCCTCTCTGGAAAGCCTGGCCAGGAAGACAGTGTGAGTAATGAATCTCAGGTGAGTGATTCCAAGGGACTGCCAGGTCCACATTCCATGTCATAGTCCAACAAGATATAAAATAGTCTCTCTGACATCCTAAGAAGGAGAACCTCCAAAAGTGAAAATCCTCCGTGCCAGCAATTTCCAATCTCTCCATGTCACCTTCGTACTTCAAAGGAAAGAAGAGATTAAAGTCACCTCTGATGGAGGCGTCATTCCGTCCTCTGGTCGCCAGGGTAGTGGGTGGAGTGGGGAGGTGAGGGGCCCCGAGGGAATAAAGGGGATTTTTGAGCCATGTAATAAGTCGAGCATCCCTTGGTGCTATTCACGTGGAAGCAATGCGCTTTCCGCAGTGCTGTGCTGGAGAAGAAACCCGGGTAAGAACAGGTTTAAAGCAGAAAACTGTTCTTAAACCAGGCACAGAGGGAGTGTGTCT